AATGGATCAAGAAGATGTGGTTTATCTATACAGTGGAATACTACATGGCAATGAGAAAGAATGAAATCTGGCCATGTGTAGCAACATGGATGGACCTTGAGGGTGTTATGCTGAGTGAAATAAGTCAGGCAGAGAAGGACAGCTACCATATGTGTGAACGTATAGGAGGATTAGGAGAAACTTAACAGAGGACCATGGGGAAGAAGAAGGGGGGAAATAGTGGGGGAGAGGGAGGGAGGCAAACCATGAGAGACTCTTGAATGCTGAGAACAAACTGAGAACTGATGGGGGTGGGGGAGAGGGGAGGGAGGTGATAGGCATGGAGGAGGGCACTTGTGGGGATAAGTACTGGGTGTTATATGGAAACCAACTTGACAATAAACTGTTTAAAAAAAAGAAAAGAAAGAAAAGTGAAAACACAACATTCTCAAATGCAAAGCTTATTCTCGTGACCAGCTCAAAGCACTCTAAAAGCTCCTTTACAAAACTCTGATACACATGGCACCTGGTGATGCCCATACTGGAATGTCAAGCCCCCAGGGTGCCTCTGTTTGCACATTTATGCTCCACACACTCTGCACTTACCTGGCTACCCTTGATAACAGTGCTGGTCTCCCAGGTACCAGAATGTTCTCTGAACATCACCACTAGGCCAGTGTGCTGATATCGTGGTGCTCCAAGAACCAGGTTTTTTTGCACATTGCTCTTCCAGATGACTTCAGAAGCGTAACCTGAAGATGGTGATCTGAGAGGATAAGTGCTTTCCTTCACAGACCCAGCCCCCTCTAGGAGACCTATCCCTTGAATAGGAACATTGCAGTAGCCCCATGGTTAGTAGGTTCAGATAACTGGACCCTGCACTACATCCCCTTTTGTTAACATAACTAAAGTGAAATTTTGAAATTTCTGACTTTAAATTTATTCCAAGGGCCTTTGAAAGATCCAATGATGTCTATGGTAGTTGAGGTATCCCACATCCTGACCCCTTCTTAGAGTTACCCTGCCCTCTCCACTTACCCAAGTAAGCATCGTTCATGTCTGAATCGACCCTGGTTGTGTTGATGAAGGTGAATGTATCCTTTGACAAATATAGAAAGGCTCCACCAGCCCAGTCAAAGCTTCCCACAGCACCTAGCAAGAGACCATTCTAGGAAAGAGGGTAGAACAAGACTGAGCAACATACAGCTTCTGTGCAATCCTTATGAAAATTTCAACGGCACTTTTCATAGACAGACAATCCTCAAATTTGTATGGAACCACAAAAGACCCCAAATAGCCAAAGCAATTCTGAGAAAGAAGAACATAGCTGGAGGCACCATGCTTTCTGATTTCAAACCATATTGCAAAGCTATAGTAATCAAAACAGTATGGTATTGGCATAAAGACAGACATATAGATCAACATAGCAGAATATATAGCCTAGAAATAAACCCATACGTATACGGCCAATTAATTTACAACAAAGGAGTCAAGAATATACAATGGGGAAAAGACAGTCTCTCAATAAATGGGATTGGGAAAACTGAAAAGCCACATGCAAAAGAATGAAATTGAACCACTATGTCACATCACTCACAAAAATCAATTCAAAACAGATCATAAAACCATCGACCATAAAACTCCAAAATAAGGGCACACCTGGGTAGCTCAGTCAGTTAAGCATCCAACTTCAGCTCAGATCATGATCTCACAGGTTGTGGGTTCAAGCCCCGTGATGGACTCTGTGCTGACTGCCAGCTTAGAGCCTAGAGCCTGTTTCAGATTCTGTATCTCCCTCTCTCTCTGACCCTCCCCTACTCACGTTGTCTCTCTCTCTCTCTTTCTCTCTCTCTCAGAAATAAATAAAACATTTTAAAAAAACACTCCAAGAATAAAATATAGGTGGTAAGCAACCTGACATTGATCTTGGCAAGAATTTTTTTTGGATTTGACTCCAAAAGCAAAGGCAACAAAAACAAAAATATACAAGTAGGACTACACCAAACTAAAAAGCTTCTGCACAACAAAAGAAACCATCCACAAAATGAAAAGGCAACTTACAGAATTGGAGAAAATATTTGTAAATCATATCTCTGGTAAAGAGTTAATATACATAATACATAAAGAACTCCTACAACTCAATAGCAAAGACATACAGATGGTCAAGAGGTACGTGAAACAGTGCTCAACATCACTAATCATCAGGAAAATGCAAATCAAAACCACAATGAGATGTCATCTCACACCTGTTAGAATGACTGTCATCAAAAAGAAAAGAAATAAATGAAGGAAATGAAAACACTAGCTCAAAAAGATACCTGCACCCCATGTTCATTGAAGCATTATTTACAATAACCAAGACATGGAAATAATCAAAGTGTCCATGGAAGCACAGATAAAGAAAATATGACATATAATAAAAATGGAATATTGAGGGGCGCCTGGGTGGCTTAGTCGGTTAAGCGTCCGACTTTCACTTAGGTCATGATCTCGCGGTTCGTGGGTTCGAGCCCCGCGTTGGGCTCTGTACTGACTGCCAGCTCAGAGCCTGGAGCCTGTTTCAGTCTGTGAGTCCCTCTCTCTCTGACCCTCCCCTGCTCACACACTCTCTTTCTCTCCTAGAAATAAATAGAAAATATTTTTTAAAAAAAGGAATATTGATCAGCCATAATAAAGAAGGAAATCCTGCCATTTGTAACATGTATGGACTTTGAAGGCATTATACTAAGCAAAACAAGTCAGGGAAAGATAAATATGGTATGATCTGACTTTTGCATGGAATCTAAAAATGAAACAAAAACTGAACTCATAGACACAGAGAACAGATTGGTGGTCAGCAAAGGCGTTGTGTTGGGAAGGTGGGTGATGGTGGTCAAAAAGTACAAGTTTCCAGTTATAAAATAAATTAATCTGGGATATAATGCACACCATGGTAAGTAGAGTTAATAACATTGTATTGTATATCTGAAAGTTGCTAAGAAAATAAATCTTAAAGTTTTCATAAAATTTTTTACCTACATGTGTGATGGATATTAATCAGACTTTTTGTGTTGGTCATTTCACAAGACATGCATACACCAAATCATTATGTTGTATACCCGAAGCTAATATCACATCACATGTCCATTATATCTCAATAAAAAAAAACAGATCTGATAAGGAAAAGAAAAGGGACCACTGCTCCCCATCACAGACATGCCTCCTAACAAGTACCCATTGCAGATAAAAGCCCCCAAACCCTTGCACCTCTTCTCCCCCTTCCCCTTCCCCCATCACAGTTTAATGAAGGACCACTTACAGAGGTGATGGCAGCACTGAAGCCATCCTGAGACAACTCATGTTCAAAGGAGCTGGTACTTCCTGTCTGAGTACCTGTGAGGAGGAGCACTTTCTACATTAAAGAAAGCAGAAGAGCTGGTAACTCAAATGTTATGATAACCAAACAAAAGGAGGCTCAGATGGGAGCTGTGTTGAACTAGAAAGCATATACCCCTTTTAAAGAGAAGGTGGTTATTTGGCTCCAGCTTCTTTTTGCCAAGTGGGAATGCTGTCTAATCTTCCAAGTTTTCAAGAGAGATCATAAATTCAGATTGTATATGAACCTCCCCTTAATTTTTAAATTATTTTATTCAATAAACATTTGTTGAGTGCTCTCTATGTAGCAGGCACTATTCTAGACACTGGAAATACAACAGTTAATCAAACAGACAAATGTTGGCAACATACCTAAATTTTTGGGAAAATACTGTGTGAGATTTGGCTCCCCTACCCTCCAATTTTTCAGCCTATAGCCAAGGCTTACAAAGTAAAGATAAAGTCTAGATTCTTCTATTTCAAAGGAAATGACCAAGTGAGACCAGAGTTGCTGAGAACTAGAGGAAATGGAGAAAGAGTTGATGCTGAGAGGATATCAAGGGTTAAGAGGTTCTAGTTACTAAAGGGGAAATTCATGTTTGGGGATAAGAGGCCACCTGTGGAACTGCTACATGAATACAGAACTTTAGCTTACCCTCAATTGCAAAGATCTTTTCCTGAAGCTGGTTTTGAATGGTCTTCAGAGCTTCAAAGTTATTCACCTGGAACACATGATCACGAGAAGGCTTGGATGCAATGGTATTAAGCTCTTCCCGATTTCTCAGACTGTGGAAAGCCTCTCCCACCTGTCACCAAGGAACAGAGGCCAAATCAGACAACATCTGGGAATATCAGTCTCACCCAGAAAAAAAAATTCTGTGGAAAAAGAATCTGAAACAATATTTGTCAGATGAGGGAATACACCAGAACAGTGACAGGGCTACCAGGTACGGTAGAACAGACTATACACTGCACAAAACATTCTGTCAAGGGAGAAATTAGCCTTTGGTCCCTTTGCTGTCCTATGCCTCCTGGTATGGGGCTGACCTCTCTCCAGAGCAAAGGGAGCCTTTTCCTCTATATGAAGGGGTTTCCTACTTGCCAAGCCATGCACTCATGATGATACCTTTTTCTACGTCATACAAGGTATTGTGGTAGCTTGATTACACTGATAATTCCAACTCTATATCCCTTCTTATATCCCAGCCCTTTCCCCAGAAACTTTGCTGTATCCTCCTACTTGTGACAGAGCAATCTGACCTGCTTATTGTCTCTGGGTCCAGCTATGTGTCTTGCTTCACCCAATGGATATTATCATACATGACTCAGACAGATGCTTAAAAAAGTGCTTGCAACATTTCCACTTGCTCTTTTCTTCCTGTGCTTTCACCATGAGGACACGCACAGGCTAGCCCACTGGAAGATGATACTGGGAGCAGCAGAGCCAAGTTATCTTAGTTGTTCCAGCCACTCCAGTCCAGCAGAGAGACATAGATGGCAACCCTCAAAAATGGAGAGAGCCCAGCCAAGACCAGCAAAGCTGCCAACAAACCTTCAAATGATTACAGATTTAAGAACGAGCCTAGTCCAATGAGAAACAATGAAATCTGGCCATGTGTAGCAACATGGATGGACCTTGAGGGTGTTATGCTGAGCGAAATAAGTCAGGCAGAGAAGGACAAATACCATATGTTTGCACGTATAGGAGGATTAGGAGGAACTTGACGGAAGAACAAGGGGGAGAAGAAGGGGAGAAATGGTGGGGGAAAGGGAGAGAGGCAAACCATGAGAGACTCTTGAATGCTGACAAAAACTGAGGACTGATGGATGTGGGGGGGAGGAAGGGATGGGCATGGAGGAGGGCACTTGTGGGGATGAGCACTGGGTGTTATGTGGAAACTAATCTGACAATAAACTATTTGTAAAAATAAATAAATAAATAAATAAATAAATAAATAAATAAAAATAAAAATAAAACCCTAGGACAGTGAAAAAAAAAAAAAAAAGAATGAACCTAGTCAAAACCAGAAAAATTTCCCAACTAAACTACAGACTTACTTATTGTTTTAAAGAACTGATTTCTGGGGGCACATGGGTGGCTCAGTCAGTTGAGCATCTGACTTCGGCTCAGGTCATGACCTCACAGCTTGTGAGTTCGAGCCCTGAGTTGGGCTCTGTGCTGACAGCTCAGAGCCTGGAGCCTGCTTCAGATTCTATGTCTCCCTCTCTCTCTCTGCCCTCCCCCCCGCAAAAAAATAAAAATAAAACATTGAAAAACTTAAAGGACTGAAATCTGAGATAATTTGTTATACAACATCATTGTAACAATAGTTAACTGATACAAGCTCATATGGGCTAGCAGTGACCTTGCCCCACCTTGGTTTAACTGGTAGCATCAGGCCACAGAAACATCAGGCCAGAGAGCCACATTTCCTACCCCAATGACATAGCGAATGATCCCCTCTCTGTCTGCTTCAGGAATGACATCCTTGTAGTCCAAGGGATCACCAAACTTTTCTCCATCCGTGATGACTACTAAGATCTTAAAGGCTTTCTCCCGGGCTCCACTGCTGCTCTGAAACAGTTCTCTCCTGTCCAGGAAGAGGAAAGAAAAGTCAAATGTGAATAGACAGAGACACTCTTAATCTGTGCAGTCACAGGCACAGATGCAGCTAGGAGGGGTTTGGACTCCTCTGGAATGAACACTGAGACGTGGGTGCCCCAAGAACCTGAAAAGGTGTCGGGAGAAGGGAGAAGAGGGGTAGGAAAAGAAATCTTCACTGCATTTATATACTTTTGCATATGTTGATTTTTTAAACTATTATTCTTTTTAAATTAAAACAAATTCTTAAGCCTAATTGGACCATCACAAACCTTTCCTGGTTTGATGCAACAGCTCTCGAGCTCACCTTCCTGCGCTTTTGTCCCAACCCCCACCCTCACCTCTATACACGTGTATTCACACGTGCACACACACACACACACACACACACACGCCAGAGTAAACTTTCCAAAACAAGATGTGGTGACATCTCCCCACTGCTTAAAATCTCCAGTGGATCCTCACTGGCTTTTGAGTTGCCTTAAGTGACCTGGCCTCAACTAATCTCTGTGGACACCCTCTAGCCTTACCCTCACACCTCCCCTTCACTCCTGCCTTTACTTACAACTTGCATTTCATGAACATACAATGCAAAGTCCCTCCTCCACACCTTTACTCGTGCTGTTCCCTCCGCCACAAATATCCTTTACCCCATCCCTGTCTGAACAACTGCCTCCATTCTTCAAATCCCAACTAAAAAATATCACTCCCTCTTTCCATCCTAAGCAAAAAACTTACACGACTTTGCGGATTCCTGTGGCAGTGTGTGTCCTCCCGAGCAACTGTCTTATTGGCCTCACCAGCAGTGCTGGGTTAGGGTTTTTCTTGAATTCATTAAAGGTGAAATGAGTCTGGAAGTCTTCAGAGTACTGCATCAAAGAAAACTGGGAACAAGCATCTGATATTATACTAGAGAAAGTGTCCCTCACACTTACCCAGCTCCTAGGAAGCCTTACATAAATCTTGAAACACTGAAGTCTCCAAATCCCTCCAAATTCCACACTGCCCCCAATCCTTCTGCCTCACCAGGACAGAGGTCTGCCATCAGCTCCCACCTCTAAATACTAGAACTCGGCCGGAGATGACAAGTAGGTTTTATCTCCCATGCCAACCTTTATCAATTAGTCAGAGCTGCCTGCTTTATAGAGGGCTGGAAGAATGATAGGCTGCATCCAGACAGAGCAGAAAAGAGAATCATGAACGAAAACATGATCAATTGGCAACTTGGCAATGTCTGCAATAGAAATACAAGAGGAAAGTGGTGGGCTGGTTGCCATGTATTTGCCAGTCTTCTATGAGCTATTTCCTAACCAACCCATTTGCCCTCACCAAGGTTTTGGACTTCTTGAATTGATCCATCACAGTTGAGACAAAATCCTTCATCCGCTGAAAGTCGCTTGGGATGATACTACCAGAACCATCAATCAGGAAGGCAATATCACTGTCCTGCCGAGGGCACTCTTGAGAAACAGGAGAAAGCATGAACTGATTAAGTATTAGAGACTGGGATTAATTTTTTGCATGTCAGCCCTCTGCTAAAGAGTGAAAATAAAAGTTATATAATATACAACCCATGCTCCAAGCTTAATAAAAACATGGACAGGGTCCCAAGATGTCAGCCACCATGAAAAAGGCATCTGCAGAATATGTCTATGTTACTTTTGAAGAACAACAAAAGATAAACAATTTTTCAAGGAATACAAGTAGAATCATGGACCTAAAGGAAGAAATAGAAGTGAAAGAGAAACAACAAAATTTAGAAGATGCTTATGAGGACAAAATGCTTGCAAATGGCTACTGCTTAATGATACCTTATCCAATTGTTGATGTTTTCATTTGCCATTCTCAAGAATAAATACAAGAAATGTTAGAAGAAGCAAAGAAAAATTTGCAGGAAGAAATAAATGCCTTAGAATCCAGAGTGGAATCAGTTCAGCAAATGTTTGCATATTTAAAAGTTCAGTTACATGCAAAACTTGGGAGCAGCATAAACTTTGAGGCTGATGAAAGTTAAACATTTTATAATACTTTTTAAAATTTGTTTAATAAACTTGAATATTGTTTAACATTATTTGAGAAATGGACAAAGTGGTATATAAAACTTTGGCTAATTCTGCCCAAGTAAGTGAGGAAAAGTAGTGATGTCAGAGCTAACTCTGAGAAATAAGAAATAAGAGAAAGAGAAATAAGTTGCCAGAAATATAAAAGGAGAAATAAGTTACGGGGGGGGAAAGGAATAGCATATATAACAGTATGATGGATGTTCTTCTACTTTCTGTCCCCAGCCCCAAATTCACTTTCTGCCCTCCCCCATTCTGCTTTCCAGCCCAGGAGGTCAGCCCACATAGACTGCATGCATTTGGGGCTCCTTTACTTCTAGTGAATCTGCCCAATTAGAAGACTAGAGGGAGAGAAGAAAGTGAGATCAGAGTATTCTCCCCTCACTCCCACTCTGGAGGTTGCCTTGGGCCAGCTGTGTCCCTCAACTGAAAATCACTGCTCCTCTCAAGGAGACACACTCCAGACAACTCTCTTTCCTTCTAAATTCTGGTTGCTTCTCCCTCTTTCTGTACAATAAGCCTAAGAGTGTAAAGCTCTGCTTCTGCTTGCCCTGGGTTCCTGGACCATCCATGGTAGTTCCCTAAGACTGTACCAGACCTTTAAAATTCATCCCTTTGTGAGGTGCCTGGGTGGCTCAGTCTGTTAAGCCTCTGACTTCAGTCATGAGTTGATTCAGGTCCTGATCTCATGGTTTGTGAGTTTGAGCCCTGCATCAGACTCTGTGCTGATAGCTCGGAGCCTGGAGCTTGCTTTGGATTCTGTGTCTCCCTCTCTCTGCCCCTTCCCCACTCATGCTCTGTCTCTCTGTCTCTGTCTCTCTCTCAAAAATATATAAACATTAAAAATTTAAAAATAAATAAATAAAAGTAATCCCTTTGTAAATAAGCCCTTCTCAAATTATCCTGATTGAAGTGTTCCAAAAAACAATAATCCTGTTAAGAAATGGAAGACATGAAAAAAAAAAAAAAGAAAGAAAGAAAAGAAATGGAAGACATGAACAGGAACTTTTCCAAAGACATATAAATGGCTAACAGACACATTAAAAGATGCTCAACATCATTCATTATCAGGGAAATATAAATCAAAATCATGATGAGATGACACCTCCCATCTGTCACACAAGAAACAACAGGTGTTGGTGAGGATGCAGAGAAAGGGGAAACCTCTTGCACTGTTGGTGGGAATGCAAACTGGTGCAGCCACTCTGGAAAACAGTATGGAGGTTCCTCAAAAAGTTAAAAATAGAACTACCCTACAATTCAGCAATTGCACTAGTAGGTACTTATCCAAAGGATACAAAAATACAGACTCAGAGGGGACAAGCACCCCGGTGTTGATAGCAGCATTGTCAACAATAGCCAAACTATGGAAAGAGCCCAAATGTCCATCAACTGCTGAATGGATAAAGAAGTCATGTATATATGCAATGGAATATTATTCAGCCATCAAAAAGAGTGAAATCTTCCCATTTACAATGACATGTATGGAGCTAGACTATATTATACTAAGCCAAAATAAGTCAGTCAGAGAAAGACAAATACCATACAATTTCACTCATATATGGAACTTAAGAAACAGAATAGATGAACATATGGGAGGAGGAAAAAAAGAGAGGGGGAAACAAGCTCCCTCTAAGAGACTTAAAGATAGAGAATAAACCGAGGGTTGATAGAGGAAGCTGGATGGGGCATTGCTTAGACGGGTGATGGGTATAAAGGAGGGCACTTATTGTGATGAGCACTGGGTGTTGTATGTAAGTGATGTGTCACTAAATTCTACTCCTGAAACCAATATTGTACTGTATGTTAACTAACTAGAATTTAAATAAAAAATTTGGGGAAAAATAACTGGAATGTGCCACCTATTCCAGTTGAAATCCTGACTAATACAAAGATGAGCCTAAAATTATTCTACAGAATTAAGGCATGGAAACGGCACTACTGGGATATATCTGTGTGATGGGAATGGAGATAAGCCTATGGCATTAAGTAAAGGACAGCTGGGAGGGGCCTGTGTATCCCAAAAGAAGAAGTTTGAATTTATCCTTAGGCAGTGGAGAGCCACCCAAGTTTTCTTAAAAAAGGAAGTAAGATGATCTTTTTTGTATTTAGAAAGATTACTGTACCAATGAAAAGTTCTAGCCACTCTATTCATGATTGCCCAACATTGGAAATAATCCAAACATCCTTAAGTATGTGAATAGATGAACTCGTGACTAAGACTGTGGTAAATCTAAGCAATGGAATACTATTCAGCAATTAAAAAGGAAGGAACTACTAATACACACAACAACATGAATGAAATGCAAATGTTTTATACTAGTGAAAGAAGCCAATCTCAAAAGGTTTTAATTCCATATATGTAGCTTTCTTGAAAAGACAAACTGCATAGTGATGGAGAACAGATTAGTGAGCGCCAGATACTAGAGTGGAGGGGGAGAAAGCAACTAACTATAAAGGGATAGTATGAAGGAGTTTTTAGAGGAGGAATAGAACTCATATTCTGTTCATATTGGTTTTTAAGATTTTATTTTAAAGTAATCTCTACAACGAACATGGGGCTCAGACTCACAACCCCAAGATCAAGAGTTGCATGCTGTGCTGACTGAGCTTGCCAGGCACCCCATGTTCATGTTGGTTTTTTTATCCAAAACTATACATACTTTAAAATTCATGGAACTGTACACTAAAAGAAAAAAAGGCCAATTTTGCTGTATGATTTATTAAAAAAATAAAATCACTCCTCCAAAAAAATTGGCTTTTTAAAATAAGCAGATTCTAACATTTATATGGAAAATGTACAAAGAAAATTAACCATAGAAAATATACAAAGAAAATTAATCAAAGAAAATGTTTGAAAATCCCAAAGATATGTTAAGTGGAAAGAATCAAGTGTCCATAGCATGCTACCATTTGTGGCACAAAATGAAGACTACAGACATGTATATGTTTGTGAAGATAGAGTATCTCCAGAAAAAGACATGAGAAACTGGCAAAGGCAATTGAATCACAGAAGAAACCAGTAGGCTGGGGACCCAAGAGAGAGAAATGTTTACTGTATGTCCTTTAGTGCTTTTTGAATTTTGAATCACTTTTAAAGAACTGAAAATGTTATTTTATTTTATTTTTAGAGGAGGGGCAAGTGAGCAAGAGGCAGAGAGAGAGAGGGAAGGAGAGAGGCGGAGGGAAAGAAGCAGGGCTCACCCAAAGTGCGTCTTGTTGCTTTTTTGTTTTGTTTTTGTTTACCAAAGTGAGGCTCATGTTCACCCAAATCAGGACTTGAGCTCACCTGATATGGGACTCCAACTCATGAATCATGAAATTTCAACCTGATCCAAAATCAGATGCTTAACCTACTGAGCCACCCAGTATGTTAAAAATGTTTTTTAAAAGAAAAGTATTGAATCTTGAGAGTAAAGACTGAAGACAGAAATGTGAGAGTGAGAGCTGAAGCCACAGAACTGGATGTGACTGGGCAGGAAGAACACATAGACAAGAATATAAGCTGTAACCTGGTACCTGGTATAGGCTGTAACCTTGTATGCATGCAAGGAAGGCAGAGGAAGACTGCCTGGAGATGAAGCTTAGCAGAAGCGAAGCCCTTTGCAGGGGGAAAGCAAAGAGAGAAAAGAGAAAGGGAGGGGAGGAGAATAGAGGGGGAAAAGGGGAAGAAAGAGGAGGAGAGGGGAGAGGAAGAGAGAGGAGAGGAGGGGAAGGGAGGAAAGAGGAAGGAAGAGGAGAGGAGGGGGAGGGAGAAGAAGGGAGAAATCTGGAGCCAAAGTGTTTAGGGAAAGAAGAGATGATCTGCAAGTCACATCAGAAAAGTCAGTATATATGAGGGCAGAAAAGAGATTTGGCATTTAGGGAGTCACAAATGCCATTTGCAAGAGGAAGATTTATATGATGGTTGAACAGAAACAAGATGTCAGAGGGTGAAGGATGGTGAGTGGGGGGAACATGGAAACAAGGAGAGAGAACCCATTCAAGAAGTTTGGTGTTGAGGTAAGGAGAAATGGCACAAGATGTAGAGGAGACCAAGGAGAGGAAAGGATATTTTCAGTGCTATTAATTTTGCTAGTTGATTGATTTTAAAATATGGATAAGCATGAGCATGTTGACATTCAGAAGAGGGGGAGAAATTTAAGATCCTAGAGAGAATGAATTATTTAGGGTGTGGACTTCAAGTTGGTGATGTGAGAGAGCCTCAAAAACCCAGAGAGAAGAGTGATTCATGGAAAGGTGAAGAGACAGGTCTGCCTCTAAAGCCAGGGAAACATTGCCAAGGGTGTTGCCACTGCAAAATTTCAAGGAGAAGGGGTAAGTGGAGACAGTTCATCCCTGGCAACTTTGATTTTCTTTGTGAAGAAAGAAGGTTATCTTTTGAGAGGAAAGTACAAAGCAGCAGAGCTTGAGAGAAAAAAAAAATTTAGGAAAGGAAGACATATCTGCCCTTGTTTCCAGAACCAACTTGAAGACAAGCAAAAAGCAGGGCAAGCAGCTGAAGAAATAAGTGGCAAAAAGTAGTTTAGAAAAAAAAGATTCAGTCAGTCAGTCACTCTCTTACAGTCAACAAATGTTTGGGGAATAAGAATGTAATAGGCAGCCACTAAGATGGTCCTCAAGATTCTCACCTCTTGGAAATAACACCCTTGCATAGTTCCCTTCTCTTGAGTGTGAGCAAGACTTTTTGACTCACTTCAAAGGAATATAAAATGAAGGAAGTAATGTGTTTTTACTTTTGAGATTAGATGATGAAAATGCAGTGATTTCTTCCTTGGGTGTTTATCTCCCTCTTGCTTCCCTAATCCCTTGTTGACTCACCCTAGAGGAAGCCAGCTGCTGTATGGGGGGGCAGTTATGAACTGCTTTATAGGGAAGCCCTGTGACAAACAAATAGAAGCCTCCAGCAACAGTCAGTGAAAACAGAGGCCTTCAGTCCAACAATCTTGTAAATGAGCTTGGAAGTAGATCTTCTTTCCTCAGTCAAGCATTCAGATGAGACCACAGCTCCAGTTTAACAAGTTAGCTTCAATCTCATGAAAAACCCTAAGGAAGAGCCACCCAGCTAAGCCACACCCAGATTCCTGATTCACAGAAACTATAATATAATTAATAATTTTTTTTTTTAGCCACTAAGTTCAGGGGCAATTTGTTAAGCAACAGTAGATGCAAGAGCATAAAGCAAAGAACAAGTTGGACAGTAGTATCCTAGCTATCATGAAGCCTACATTCCAGAAGAAAGGATAGAAAAGAAACAAGTAAAATAGGTATATACAGGTATGAAAATGGTAAAGTAGGACAATGTGGTAGGGAGTGATGATGGAAAAGATTAGAAGAGCCACTCGGAAAAGGCCTCTTTGAAGAGGTGACATTTAAGCTGAGTTGACAATACTGGGTTGTCAGGTGAGATCTGAGGGAAGAACATTCCAGGCTGAAGGAATAGTGAGTGCAAAGGCACTAAGACATGGACAGCTTGGTGTTGTTCTTGGAGAAGAAAGGCAGCCAGAGTGGCTGGAGCACAGTAGCTGAGGTAGAAGAGATGGGAGAGAGAAGCCAAAGAGGCTACACCATTCAGAGCCTCAAAGGCTATGATCAGGAGACTCAGACACTTACTCTAAGAACAATAGTTGGGACGTCATCTCACAAAGATGAGTGGGCATATCAGGACTTTCCATAGATAGATAGATAGATAGATAGATAGATAGATAGATAGATAGATAGATCAGGACTTTTCCTAAAGTGCAAGACCCTAGCATCTCTCTCTACCATCTCTATTGGAACCCAGTTCCCTCCCACTTCTCCACCTATCCCAGCCCTGCCCTTGGCCTCACACTGCCCATCTGTATTCTTTGCCAAAGTCCACCTACCTCTGAGGCTCTCCGGGAAACTCTGGGGCTGCTGCCATAGGTTGGATCCAAAGAGGAAGCATAAGCCATTCACATAGGTGTTCTCCTTACAAGTTTGGTGCACAGTGGGGCCACAGGCCTGCGGAAAGGTTGCAGGTGGGAGGGGCTGTTCCTGTTTCCTGTCTTTTCACCTCAGAACCGCCACCCTCCACAGACGCCAGCCCCAGTAGCCATAAGCCCCTGACTCCTTCCCTCAGGACAATCCCATGACCCAGGACAACTCACCAGCAGTCGGAAAGGGTTCCTGGCAAATGCCAGGGACAGGCCCAGAGACATGTTCACCGCCTCCAGGGGGACTGAGGAGACATATATAAACATGGTCACCTTCAGGGAAATAAAATGAGCTATATGAAGGTGAACAGACGTCACCTTAACCTGGGAGACATGCAGACCCAACAGATCAAGGGGGAACCTAAGTCACAGAAATGAAACATGAAGGGGGTGGCTGAGGGTATCTGAGGTACAGTCTGCATGCAGCACAGAGGTTGATGAGCTGGATGCCTGGGCCCCCAACCACAGACCCTCAGAATAAAAAGAATGTGTGGCAAGTTCAGGTGTATGGACAGGAACCCTAGCCCTGGATCCCAGGGAGGAGCAGTGACTCACCCTGCAAGGGGATAGGCTCACACTTGCCCGTGCTGTAGTCACACTGGTAGAGGCCACCTGTTTGGTTGGCAGCCTTTATCTCCTGGGGGGCTCCAACCACCATCCTGGGGGGAGAGGTAAGAACAGATCGCCATATGGGGTGCCTGGGTGGCTTAGTCGGTTAAGCGTCCGACTTTCGCTTAGGTCATGATCTCGCGGTTCGTGGGTTCGAGCCCCGTGTCGGGCTCTGTGCTGACTGCCAGCTCGGAGCCTGGAGCCTGTTTCAGTCTGTGACTCCCTCTCTCTCTGGCCCTCCCCTGCTCACGCTCTCTCTCTCTCTCTCTCTTAGAAATAAATAAAACATTAAAAAAAAAAAAAAGAACAGATCGCCATAGGGACAAGATAAAACTATGACATGTGAAGAGAGAAGGAGATCATGGAAGTTCTGCCACCCAAAGGAAAGTGAGAAGAGACAACTCCAAGTATTTCCCAATTCTCAGAAATAAGAGGACGACTCAGCAAAGAAAAAAAAAATGGGAAAAGTTTAAACTTTTTCCAAGATTTAAATCTGGGAAGGGGAAGGGCCTCTCTAAGAATGACACAAAACCAACAAGTCATTTAACATTGTTGAATCCTCTATTGTACACCTGAAATTAGTATAACACTGTATGTTGACTATACTGGAATTTTAAACAATTTTAAAGCATAAATCCAACCATTGAAATTCAGTCATTTTAAATAAATTTCTGTATGTGATATCAGGGAAATGCAAATCAAAACTACAATGAAGTATCATGTTGGGGGAATCTGGGTGGCTCCCGCTGGTTAAGCATCCGACTTTGGCTCAGGCCATGATCTCGTGATTCATGAGTTCGAGTCCTGCATTGAACTCTCTGTTGTCAGCACACTTCGGGTCCTCTGTCTCCCTCCCTCTTTCCGTCCCTCCCCTGCTTGCGCACATGCGCTCTCTCTCAAAAATAAATAAACATTAAAAAAAATAATGAGATATCACCTTATACGTGTCAAAGTAGCTAAAATAAAAAAAAAAAGAAACAAGAGGTATTGGTGAGGATATGGAGAAAGGGGAACCCTCACGCACTGTTGGTAAGATGCAAACTGGTGCAGCCACTCTAGAAAACAGTATGGAGTTTCCTCAAAAAGTTAAAAATAAAACTACCCTACAACCCAGCAATTGCATTACTGAGTATTCACCCAAAGAATACAAAACCACTAATTCAAAGGAATACATGCACCTCAATGTTAATAGCAGCATTATCTACAATAGCCAAATTATGGAAGCAATCCAATTGTCCATCAACTGATGAGTGGATAAAGAAGATATGGTGCAGCATACTTCTCAAAACTAGAACAAACTATCCTAAAATTTGTATGAAACCACAAAAGACCCCGAATAGCCAAAAGTCATATGGAAGAATAAACCCAAAATGGGAGGTATCACCATCCCAGACTTTAGCTTCTACTACAAAGCTGTCATCATCAAGACAGTATGGTATTGGCACAAAAACAGACACATAGACCAATGGAACAGAATTGAGGACTCAGAGCTGGACCCAAAGGTATACAGCCAACTAATCTTTGACAAAGCAGGAAAGAACATCCAATGGAAAAAAGACAGCCTCTTTAACAGATGGTGTTGGGAGAACTGGACAGCAGCATGCAGAAGAATGAAACTAGATCATTTTCTCACACCATGCACAAAAATCAACTCAAAATGGATAAAGGACCTGAACGTGAGACAGGAAACTATCAACACCCTAGAGGAGAAAGCAGGAAACAACCTCCTTGACCTCCACCGCAGCAACTTCTTACTTGACACATCCCCAAAAGCAAGGGAATCAAGAGCAAAAATAAACTGTTGGGACCTCATCAAGATTAAAAGCTTCTGCACAGCCAAGGAAACAACCCAGAAAATTAATAGGCAACCAACGGAATGGGAAAAGATAGTTGCAAATGACATATCAGATAAAGGGTTAATATCCAGAATCTATAAGGAACTCACCAAACTACACGCCCGAAAAACAAACAACCCAGTGAAGAAATGGGCAGAAGATATGAACAGACACTTCTCCAAAGAGGACATCCAGATGGCCAACAGACACATGAAACGATGCTCAGCATCCCTCCTCATCAGGGAAATACAAATCAAAACCACACTGAGATACCACCTCATGCCAGTCAGAGTGGCTAAAATGAGCAAATCAGAGAACTCTAGATGCTGGCGAGGATGTGGAGAAACGGGCACCCTCCTACACTGTTGGTGAGAATGTAAACTGGTACAGCCCCTCTGGAAAACAGTGTGGAGGTTCCTCAGGAAACTAACAATAGAACTCCCCTATGACCCAGCAATAGCACTGCTAGGAATTTACCCAAAGGAAACAGAAATGCTGATGCATAGGAGCACATGTACCCCAATGTTCATAGCAGCACTCTCAACAATAGCCAAAACATGGAAAGAGCCTAAGTGTCCATCAACGGACGAATGGATCAAAAAGATGTGATTTATCTATACCATGGAATACTACATGGCAGTGAGAAGAAATGAAATCTGGCCATGTGTAGCAACATGGATGGACCTTGAGGGTGTTATGCTGAGCGAAATAAGTCAGGCAGAGAATGACAAATATCATACGTTTGCACGTATAGGAGGATTAGGAGGAACTTAATGGAGGACCATGGGGGAGAAGAAGGGCGGAAATGGTGGGGGTAAGGGAGAGAGGCAAACCATGAGAGACTCTTGAATGCTGAAAACAAAGGACTGATGGGTGTGGGGGTGGAGGGGGAGATGGGCATGGAGGGGGGCACTTGTGGGGATGAGCAGTGGGTGTTATATGGAAACCAACTTGACAATAAACTATTTGTAAAAAAAAAAAAAAAAAGAAGAAGAAGAAGAAGAAGAAGATATGAAGATATGGTGTATTGGGGTGCCTGGCTGACTCAGTCAGTGGAGTGTGCAACTCTTGATCTTGGGTTGTGAGTTCAAGCCCCACACTGTGTGTAGAGGCTACTTAAAAAAAAAAAAAAAGATGATGATATGATACATATCACATATATACGTCGTATATGGCATCTATGATGATATGATAAGTGTGTACACACATACACAATGGAATATGACTAGTCATAAAAAGGAATGAAATCTTGCCATTTGTAATGACATGGATGGAGTTAGAGACTATCGTGCTAAATGAAATAAGTCAGTCAGAGAAAGACAAATACTGTATGATTTCACACATATGTGGAATTTAAGAAACCAAGCGATGAGTGAAGGGACAAAAAGAGGAGCGAGAAAGGCAAACCAAGAAACAGATTCTTAACTACAGGGAACAAAAGCTTTTTTCTAAATTTCTGTATGTGATAACCTACCACATACAAAGTCAAAGGACAAGCAATAAACTGGTGAGAGGAAGATTAGCAACTCATGCCACAGACTTCTTTCCTCAAAATCATCAGAATTCCTACAAATTAATAAGGAAAAAAAAACAATAAAAAATTGGGCAACAGATAAGAGAAAGGTTCACAGAAAAGGAAATACATCTTTCATTTAAATATAAATGCAAATGGGGCGCCTGGGTGGCTTAGTCGGTTAAGCGTCTGACTTTCACTTAGGTCATGATCTCGCGGTTCGTGGGTTCGAGCCCCGCGTCGGGCTCTGTGCTGACTGCCAGCTCGGAGCCTGGAGCCTGTTTCGGTCTGTGACTCCCTCTCTCTCTGACCCTCCCCTGCTCACGCTGTCTCTCTCTCTCTCCTAGAAATAAAAACATTAAAAAAAAAAATAAATATAAATGCAAAGGAAGGGGGCCAACATGGCGGAGAAGTAGGGGGATCTGTACTTCCCGAAGCTCTCAAACAAAGCAGGGCTGAAGCCAAAGGACTCTGAGCCCCAAGGGTCTGGGAGGAAAGGAGACGGAGTCTACCAGGAGAAAATGGGAAAACCAGACGGCCCCATAGGTGCGGATTGCGAACTGGGGGAGATAAACAGGCCGCGGAAGCATGGAGGGGAGGGACCCCCTTCTGCGGAGAGAGAAAGTGAAGACAAAAAGCAGCTGGGAAAGCGAAGGACTGTACCTGGACAAGAGAAAAACCTCGGACCAAGACAGAGAGGGATCCCATCATCCCATCTCTAACTGCAGGGCTTTTTTTGAGACTGGGGCCGGCTGCCCTGTTCGCATACCTGGGAAAGAGGGGAGTCACCTCCGGGTTCGGTGGTACCTCAGGGGTGCAGTCTGCAGCAGGAGAAACCAGTCCCCTGCCCTGAAGTGCTGCAGCACAGCCGCAAGAGCACATATCGAGGGGCAACATTAACGTGCACGGAGTAGGAGCTTAAAACCCAGCTAAGCGTGGGACAGAAGAGACAGTGGGGCATGACAGCCCGCCTCGTCTGCGTCCGCGGCACAGTGAGGACGGATCCAAAGGAGTGAATTGGGACAACTGGTCTGGAAATAAGAGACTGGAGGGTCGCCATTTTTCTCCCCACAATCACCAAGGCGGGGCCTCAGGGATGGGGGTCGGCCCCATAGTGGAGGCGGGACCTGCCTACACCAAACCACGCCCCTCCACCCTGGGTAGCAGCTTATCTACTCGAGCTGGGTGGGCGCTGTGGAATCAGCACTGCAGCATTGCCTGGATTAACTCTGGGTCATTCTTGTTATTCGGATATATTCTCCCTTTCCTCCTTCTTATCTCTTCCCTCCTCTAGACTGGTTACTCTGGCTATTGGTTTGCTTAAACAGATATATTTAGTCCATTCTCTTGATGCATGTTCTATACCTCCTTCTTTACTTTCTTTTCTCTCTCTCTCTGGAATAATCAGGCCATATAATTTCTCTGGGTAACTTTATCATTGTTCTTTTTCCTCACCTCATTCCTTATTCTCCATTCTCTCTCTCTGGATTAAGCCTTTTTGTCTCTCTGACAGGTCAACGTTTGCTTTCTCTTTCTCCCCGCCCCTGTGATTTCTCTCTTTGTATATGCTCTTCCATCAGCACCGCTTCCACTCTGTTCTTTACTTATAGCTGGTGTTTCTGGCTCTTTGATTTTATAATTTTTTTTAATGTTTTATTTATTTCTAGGAGAGAGAGAGAGACAGCGTGAGCAGGGGAGGGTCAGAGAGAGAGGGAGTCACAGACTGAAACAGGCTCCAGGCTCTGAGCCGGCAGTCAGCACAGAGCCGGACACGGGGCTCGAACCCACGAACCGCGAGATCATGACCTAAGCGAAAGTCGGACGCTTAACCGACTAAGCCACCCAGGCGCCCCATGGCTCTTTGATTTTAGATTCTCTTTTGGTTTTTGTTTTCATTTCTGTTTTTGTCTGTTTGTTTGCTTGTTTGTTTTACTTCTTTGGGCATTTGCATGTTTTTCTTTCCTGTTTGTTGGTCTTTCTGTTTTCCTTTCCAGGGCTACTTCAAGAAACAAACCAAAGAACACTTGGTGGAGGGTCCAAAACATCACTACAAGTAGGGAAATAAAATAACTGAAGTCCTAACAACAGAGAACAAGTAGCACGCTCCAAAAAACACCTCAAGTATGGCCAGGCCCTGGAGCCTCCTTTAATATAGCACTACTAGCTGGTGTAGAGCACATAACAAGCTTTTAAAACTTACAAGGGACAGAAAACTAGCCAAAATGATTAAACAGAAGAATTCTCTTCAAAAGAAATTCAGGAAGAAGCGACAGCTAAAGAATTGATCAAAGCAGATATAAGCAACAGAACTAAACAAGAATTTAGAATAATAGTCATAAAATTAATCACTGGGCTTGAAAAAAAACATAGAAGACAGCAGAGACTCCACTGCTACAGAGATCAAAGACCTTAAAAATAATCATGATGAATTCAAAAATGCTGTAAATGAGGTGCAAAATGAAATAGAGGCAGCCATAGTGCATATTGAAGAGGCAAGTGGAGAAGAGGTGAAATAGAACATGAAATTATGGAAAAAGAGGAAGCCCAGAAAAAGAGAGATAAATTGATCCAGGAGTACGAAAGGAGAATTCGAGAACTGAGTGATGTAATCAAATGGAACAATATGTGTATCATAGGAATTCCATAAGAAGAAGAAGAGAGAGAAAGGGCCTGAAGGGGTACTTGAACAAATCATAGCTGAGAACTTCCCCAACCTGGGGTAGGGAACAGACATTGAAATCCAAGAACAAAGAGTACTCCCCTCAGATGTAACTTGAATCAATCTTCTGCATGACATATCTTAGTGAAACTGGCAAAATACAAGGATAAAGAGAGAATTCTGAAAGCATCTAGAGATAAAAGGGCCCTAACATACAAAGGGAACCACATCAGGGTAGTAGCAGATCTATCTACTGAAACATGGCAAGCCAGAAAGGAATGGCAGAAAATCTTCAATGTGATGAACAGGAAAAATATGCAGCCAAGAATCTTTTATCCAGCAAAGCTGTCATTCAGAATAGAAGGAGAGATAAAGGTTTTCCCAAACAAACAAAAGCTGAAGGAATTCATCACCACTAAACCAGCCCTACAAGAGATCCTAAGGGAGATTCTATGAGGGAAATGTTGCAAGGAACACAAAGTACCAGAGGCATCACTACAAGCATGAAACCTACAGATAACACAATGACTCTAAATCCATACTTTTCAATAATAACACTGAATGTAAATGGACTAAGTGCTCCAATAAAAAGACATAGGGCATCAGAATAAATAAAAAAGAAGACCCATCTATTTGCTGTCTACAAGAGACTCATTTTAGACCAGAGGACACCTTCAGATTGAAAGTGAGGGGATGGAGAACTAGCTATCATGCTACTGGAAATCAAAAGAAAGCTGGAGTAGCCATATTTATATCAGACAACCTGGACTTTAAAGTAAAGACTACTAGCAAGAGATGAAAATAAATAAATAAATAAATAAATAAATAAATAAATAAATAAAGTAAAGACTGTAACAAGAGATGAAGAAGGACATTATATAATAATTACAGGATCTATCCGTCAGGAAGAGATAACAATTATAAATGTCTACACGCCGAATTTGGGAGCACCCAAATATATAAAACAATCACAATCATAAGCAATCCTATTGATAAGACTGTGATAATTGCAGGGGACTTTAATACTCCACTTACAGCAATGGATAGATCAACTAGACAGAGAATCACTAAAGAAACAATGGTCCTTGACGAATGGATCAAGAAGATGTGGTTTATCTATACAATGGAATACTACAAGGCAATGAGAAAGAATGAAATCTGGCCATGTGTAGCAACATGGATGGAACTTGAAGGGTGTTATGCTGAGCAAAATAAGTCAGGCAGAGAAGGACAAATATCATATGTTTGCATGTATAGGAGGATTAGGAGAAACTTAATGGAGGACCGTGGGAGAGAAGAAGGGGGGGAAATAGTGGGGGAGAGGAGGAAGGCAAACCATGAGAGACTCTTGAATGCTGAGAACAAACTGATGGGGGTGAGGGGAGGGGAAGGAGGGTGATTGGCATGGAGGAGGGCACTTGTAGGGATGAGTCCTAAGTGTTATATGGAAACCAACTTGACAATAAACTATTTAAAAAATAAATAAATAAATAAATGCAATTTAAAACTAAATTGAGATACCATATCTAACCTATTCAATTTGCAAAGAGCAAGACGTTTGACTACACATTGGTTTGGCAAATGGGTGGGGAAGTAAGTATTTCCATAAACTTCTGGTATAAGTGTACACTGCTTTCACTTCCACAGAGGGTTATCTGGAAACATCTATTAACATTACATATGTACATATGTCCTCTGATCCAAGAATTCTAGTTCTAGGAATTTACTTTCAAAAATACTTGCATATGTACAGAAGGACAGCAGTTTTCACATCACAAAAATTTGGAAACAATCTAATGTCTATTAAGAAGAGATTTAAATTTAATATCAATGTAAATTATAGTACGTCAAAATAATATAATATGATGCAAGAATTAAAAAGAATAAGTAAGGGGGCACCTGGGTGACTCAGTTGGTTAAATGGCCAACTTCGGCTCAAGTCATGATCTCAGTTTGTGGGTTCAAGCCCTGCAACAAGCTTGTGCTAACCAGAGCCTGAAGCATGCTTCAGATTCTGTGTCTCCCTTTCTCTGTCTCCCTTTCTCTCTGCCCCTCCCCTGCTTGTGCTCTTTCTCTCTCAAAATAAATAAACATTAAAAAAAATTTTTTTAGGAATGGGCAGGATTTTTATGCATTTAGCTAGTATAATCACCAAGCTCTGTTAAAAAAAAAAAAAAAGTGAAGTTCAATATAGAGCAAACTTTTTCTGGAAAAGTAATACTATTTCCATATTTTTTAATATAGGTAAATATTTTAGGCTTTGCAGGCCATATACTCTCTGTTGAAGACTCTTGATTCTACCATTGTAGCTCCAAAGTGGCCAGAAATAATGAATAGCAAGTTGGGATGAGGGTGGAATCAATAAAATTTATTTACAAAAATAGGCAGCAGGCTGTAGTTTGAATATAATGTGTGCTACAAAATGTGCAGGAAATGAGAGTTAAGGGAATGCGGAGGTACACACATCATAGACTCTGGAAGAACCCACAAGAAAACATTTTCCAGGGAACCTTCTGGTTAAGGAATGAGGAGAGGAAGTGTGTGCTGAGGAGACTTTTTACTATTACACTCTTTAGGATCTTTTGAATTTAGAACTCTGTTACTGTTCTAAAAGTAAAGTAAGTAAATCAAGAAAAAAAATAAACAAAACTGTGATTTCCCCCCCCAAGTTACAGGTGTTAAACTGAAGTGTAAGACAGAGACCTCCAAGTGGTCCTTACCGGGATCCCTCAAGTTGGACCACGCTCTGCCCGAAGCCCCTTGCATTCTCTTGGAAGAGCATTGAATTTTTAGTGTCCAGGTTGAACCCATGACATAATAAGGTCAAGGCTGGAAGGAAGAGAAAGGGTGAAGGTCATGGGGGATAAGGAGATAAGAAAGCAACTTGAACTCTTGCTCTACGCATCTACTGCTAGAATTCACCCAACCTAGCATGGAGATCTATGCCTCCCAGGTCCAGCTTTCTTGTGCTGAGGCAGAAGTTGGCACACTTTTTCTATAAAGGGCCAGATAATAAATATTTAAGGTTTTGTGGGTCAAGAGGCAAATAGAGTACATTAGGTAAATACTTATATAACAAGAGAGAAAATGTTTTTCCACAAATTTTTCATTAAGGAAATTCAAAATATAATAATTGAGTACAGCTTTTTTGTAATATAAATTTACTAATGAGACAAATGGAATTCTTTCAGGAAGATAACATGTCACTTACTGGGATTCAAAGTTAGTGTTGCCTATCATGAATCAATTACAAATGCTCATCTGAGACCTATGGCTCACAGTACAGAAACAGGTAGGGGAATCCTTGCCTTATGCCCACAGTCAAGTCAGTTTGCTGGCCCTTGGACTAAGAACCACCATTATGGGGTGCATTCAGTCCCTCTCTGAGTTCCATCCTATGTTCCTACCCTGCTGATTTGCCTAACAATCAAGTTCCTGAAGACTCTCCATTAGGCAACCTCCTTCCTATGCAACTCTAAAGCATTTTTTCCCCTTTATTTGGCTCATTCTCCACAAAAAAAAGGCATAAAAGAAAACACATTTGAACCATTTTGGTCATTCAACAAACATTTACACCTGGTTCCTTGGAAAATAGAACTGTAGGCAAAGTGGAGGTGGTAAGATGATCTAATTAGAAACACTCTGAGAATCTAATATATATTGACCTTTGGGCATATTATTCCACCACTCTGGGACCTCAGTTTCCTCATCTGTAAAGTGAAGGGGACAGCCAAACCCCACTACATTGTCTATAAATTTAATTATTCATCTAAGCTTCTCTAATTATTCCATCTTGGTCTAGTTCTTCTCTTTGCTTCTTAAATCCCTTATCCTTCCCCAAATCCCCTTTGTTTTCCTTCAGTCTAACTCCTAGATATTCTATGCCCTCTCTCCACTCAGAGACTCAAAATGTCCCCTTCACCTCACTCTCAGAGCCACCCCCCAATTCCTAGTGTACCTGTTAACAGAAGAATTCTGTGAGTCATAGCTGGAGGGAGCAGGATCTGGGGGGCTGCATGCACCACTGAACCACTTCAAGGAAGCCACCAAAGACAGGAAAGACAGAAAAGGAGAAGTAGGAGGCAGAAGTCTATTGAGATTCAAAGGAAGAGGGCGTCGGCTCAGTGAGCACACAGCCCTGCTCAACCTTCTTCCTGGGGCTACAAACAGCCTGTGCTCCCTCCCTAACCATAATCCTGGCCCAAACCAACAAGATCACTGTCCCAAAGGTATTCTTTTTTTGACCACCTGCTTCTAGGGTTAGCCAACCTACCCAGGGGTGCCTGCCTGGGTAGCTCAGTTGGTTAACCATCAAACTCTTGATTTCAGCACAGGTCATGATCCCAGGGTTGTGGGATCAAGTCCTGTGACAGGCTCCCACTGAGTGTGGAACCTGCTTATTCAAAGCCTGCTTAAGATTCTCTCCCTCTGTCCTTCTCCCCTGCTCATACTCGTCCTCTGTCTCTCTAAAATAAATAAATAAATAAACAAACAAACAAACAAACAAATAAATAAATAAAGTATATATTTAAAAAAGAAAAGCAAGCTGAAGAGACTTAGGGTCTGCCTACTGGAACATGTGTCTAAACTGATACTAATACAGACCAAGCATATGTGGGAGGCCACACTGTGTCTCTCTGAAAGTACACTTTGCAAAATGTCCTTCCCTCCTGCCCAAGGAAATCGAAGTACCCTTCAGCCAGAGCTGTTCTCCTTTTGTAGCCATCAAAAAGGACAATCCAGGTACAGAGAAACCCAGTGCTTTTTGAATATTATTTTGCTTAAAAAAAAAAAAAAAAAAAAACACCTCAAATCCTTTGCCTAGGAATTTTCACTTTCAGAAATTTATCCTAAGAAATAGCTGAGAAGTACAGTCAAGATGTATTTACAAGCTTGTTCACTCTGGCATTGTTTTTAATAATGAAAAACTAGAACAGCTTCAATACTCAACAACACAGGAATGGTTGTATGATGTTTCACTCTGTGATACACCCTTACATCCCATCATTATTACTCACTGCTAAATCTGTTTTCAAAGATACAGGATCATAATTTCATGTGTTAACCTTCAAAACAAAACGGTCAGTTACTTTAGCAGCAAAATTGGGTTTATTCAGGAATAATAGAAATTGCAATTTGGGACTTACAAGCTATGGCAAAACCAAGTCCCAAAAACAAAGGACAGGAAAGCTCTTTTATAGAAGAAAGAAATGAGTTGGGAAAGCCTGTTGTAAACAAAAAGTCCATTGGAGTAAGCTGGGAGTTCAAAGTATAGTGGCTTTTCGTTCCTGAGTTGGAACATTCTCTTTCACTGGCTGGGGTGTTGGTCGGCAAGGAGAAAATCTTTTAGGAGGAAGAAAATATAAAGTATAACTAGGAATGTATACAAAGGATACAAAAGGGGCTGATTTGAAGGGTCTGATGCACCCCAATGTATATAGCAACACTATCAACAATAGCCAAATTATGGAAAGATCCCAAATGTCCACCAACTGATGAATAGAAAAAGAAGATGTAGCATATATATGCAATGGAATAGTACTAGGTGATCAAAAATAAATAAATAAAATTTTGCCATTTGCAACAACATGGGTGGAACTATAGAGTATTACACTAAGTGAAATATGTCAGTCAGAGAAAGACATTTGACTCATATGTGAAAGTTGAGAAACTCAACAGGTGAACATAGGGAACGGGAAGGAAAAATAAGATAAAAACAGAGAGGGAAGCAAACCATAAGAGACTTTTAAATACAGAGAACAAATTGAGGGTTCCTGGAGGGAGGTGGGTGGGTGAGGATAAGTTAAATGGGTGATGCCCATTAAGGAGGACACTTTTCAGAATGAGCACTAAATGTCATATATGAGATGAATCACTAGGTTCTACTCCTGAAGCCAAGACTAACTACATTGTATGTTAATTAACTTGAATTTAAATTTTAAAAAGAAAAGAAAATATACAGTATAGGTTTCTTACCATTGTGAATGCAGTCTCTTCCTGTTGGGGTCTGCAAAGGACCATGAGCAGTAGAGTGTGAAAGCTTCCCTTCCTGTTCTCCTGACTCCATTTTATGTTTTGGGGAGAGAAAGAGAGAGAGAACAAGTGAGGAGAGGGGCAGAGGGAGAGAGAGAATCTTAAGCAGGCTTCACACCCAGCACAGGGCCCTATGCAGGGCTCAGTTTCAGGAACTCAATCTCACTATCTCACCACCAACTGTGAGACCATGATGTGAGCCAAAATCAAGAGGTGGAAGATTAACTGACTGAACCACCCAGGCACTTCCTCCTGACTCTGTTTTAAGTGCAGCATACTTGGGGCCCCTGGGTGACTCAGTCAGTTTAGCATCCACATTGGCTCAGATCATGATCTCACTATTCTGGGTTCAAGCCCTGTGTCAGGTTCTGTGCTGATGGTGCAGACCCTGCTTAGGATTCTCTCTCTCCCGCTCTCTCTACTCCTCCCCTACTCATGCTTCTTTCTCGATAAATAAATAAAAATATTAAAAAGAAATGCATAAATAAATGAGGTTCACTGCACCTTGTATATGTCTACTAATGTGAGAGCTTTCCATCTAAGGTCAGGAACATGGCAGGGATGTCCACTCTCACCACTGTTGTTCAACATAAGGGTTGGGAGTTCTAGCCTCAGCAATCAAACAACAAAAAGAAATAAAAGGTATACAAATCAGCAAGTAAGAAGTCAAACTTTCACTCTTCGCAGATGACAAGGTGCTCTATGTGGAAAACCCAAATAATCCAACACAAAACTTCTAGAACTGATACATGAATTCAACAAAGTCACATAATATAAAATCCACTTACAGAAATTGGTTGCATTCTTACACACCAATAATGAAGCAGCAAAAAGAGAAATTAAGGAATCAATCCTATTTACTATCACACCAAAAACCAACCAAAAATACCTAGGGATAAACCTAACCAAAGAGGTGAAATATCTGCAGACTGAAAACTATAGAAAGCTTATGAAATAAATTGAAGAAGACACAAAGAAATGGAAAGGCATCCCATGCTCATGGATCGAAAGAACACATATTGTTAAAACGTCTATACTAGAAAGCAATCTATACATTCAATGCAATCCCTATCAAAATAACACCAGCATTCTTCACAGAGCTAGAAGAAAACCTAAAATTTGTATGGAACCAGAAAAGACCCTGAATAGCCAAAGCAATCCTGAAACAGAAAGCCAAAGCTGGAGGCATCACAATTCCAGGTTTCAAGCTGTCTTCCAAAGATGTAATCATCAAGACAGTATGGGACTGCTACAAAGACAGACACATAGATCAGTGCAACAGAATATGGAACCCAGAAATGGACCCACAAATGTATGGCCAGCTAGAAAGAATATCCAATGGAAAAAAGACAGTCTCTTCAACAAATGGTGCTGGGAAAACTGGACAGTGACATGCAAAAAAATGAACCTGGAGCACTTTCTTACACCATGTACAGAAATAAATTTTAAATGGATGAAAGACCTAAATGTGACACAGGAAACCATCAAAATCATACAGGAGAAAACAGGCAACAACATATTTGATTTCAGCAGCAGCAACTTCTTACTAGACATGTGTCTGGAGGTAAGTGAAAGAAAAGCAAAAACAAACTATTGGGACCTCATCAAGATAAAAGTCTTCTAGGGGCACCTGGATGACTCAGTCGGTTAAGTGTCTGACTTCAGCTCAGGTCATGATCTCATGGTTCATAGCTTCAAGCCCTGCATCGAGTTCTCTGCTGTCAGCACAGAGCTTGCTTTGTATCCTCTGTCCCTCTCTCTCTCTGCCTTTCCCTCACTTGCACTCTCTCTCCCAAAAACAAACTTAAAAAAAAAGTTTTTTCACAGAGAAGGAAATAATCAACAAAAACATAAGGCAGCTGTAGGAATGGGAGAAGATATTTGCAAACGACATATCAAGTGAAAGGTTAGTATCCAAAATTTATAAAGAAATTATCAGACTCAACACCCAAAAAACAAGTAATCCAGTGAAGAAATGGGCAAAAGACATGAACAGAGACTTTTTCAAAGAAGACATTCAGATGGCTAACTGACACATGATAATATTTTTAACATCACTCATTATCAGTGAAATATAAATCAAAACCTCAATGTTATTTCACCTCACACCTGTCAGAATGGCTAAAATTAACAACTAGGGCAATGACAGATGTTAGCGGGAATGTGGAGAAAGGGCAACTCTTTTGCACAGTTGGTGGGAATGCAAACTGGTGCAGCCACTCTGGAAAACAGTGTGGAGGTTCCTCAAAAAATAAAAAATTGAACTACTCCATGACCAAGAAATTGCACTCCTAGGTATTTATCTGAAGGACACAAAAAATGGTGATTCAGAGGGGTACATGGACCCCAGTGTTTAGAGCAGCACTACCAACAATAGCCAAATTATGGTAAGAGCCCAAACGTCCATTAACAGATGAATAGATAAAGAAGATGTAATATAGAGGGTGCCTGGTTGGCTCAATTAGTTAACCATCAAACTTCAGCTCAGGTCATGGTCTCACAGTTCATGAGTTCAAGCTCCATATCAGGTGAGCTCGAGTTCCACTTTAGAATTCTCTCTCTTTCCTTCTCTCTCTCCCTCTCTTTCTCCATCCCTTGTTCACTCACAGTCTCTCTTTCTCTCAAAAATAGATAAATAAATAAATACATACATACACAATATTCCATTGTATATACAATATATATAATATAATATTCCATTGTGTGTGTATATATATGTATGTGTATGTATATATATACACACACAATGGAATTTTATATAAATAAATACCTAGAAGATGATATATATGTGTGTGTGTGTCTATATGTATATATATGTGTATGTGTGCATATATATGTATATATATATATATATTTATAGCCATACATACATCAATGCAATATTACTCCATGATCAAAAAGAATGAAATTTTGCCATTTGGAACAACATGGATAGAACTAGAACGTATTATGTTAAGTGAAATAATAAAGTAATATGTTAAGTGAAATGTATTATCTTAAGTCAGTCAGAGAA